CAAGGCACCACGCACTCAGTCCAACAAAAACAGAACCCCAGATCCAAGTGCTCTCTTCTCTCTCTCTCTCTCTCCCCCCCCCCGCTTTCTCTCTTTCTCTTTCTCCCACCCCCCGTGACCTTGTGCAGCCCTCAGGCATACCCTATACCAGTGATGGCGAACCTATGACATGCGTGTCAGAGGTGACATGCGAACTCATTTTTTGGGTTGATTTTTCTTTGTTAAATGGCATTTAAATATATAAAATAAATATCAAAAATATAAGTCTTTGTTTTACTATGGTTGCAAATATCAAAAAATTTCTATATGTGACACGGCACCAGAATTAAGTTAGGGTTTTTCAAAATGCTGACACACCGAGCTCAAAAGGTTCGCCATCACTGCCCTATACCGGCCAGAACCTGTGAATAATAAATCTTTTTTTTTTCTTCAAAGCACCCTGACGGTTATTGCTGAGGTGTCTTACAATCATAATAAGAACCATAAGGCCCAGTCCAGCCACAGCACTGACTCCAGTTGGGGAATGTGTGTGGGGGCTGCCACAGCACTGCAGGCCCAGGTGGGGGCTGCAGGCGTTCCAGCTGACAGCATCGCCATCCATAGGCTGAGACCAGCACGGCACGGGTGCCCACGTGCATGCCTGGAGAAAAACGGAAACGGGGATCCCCATCATTCACCCCCATGTTGGAGAAAATGTCTCTGTAGTTCCAGCATTCTAAATGCCAACCTGATGTTTCCCTGATTTCTGCAGGGAGAAATACATCCTTATGAGACTGTATTTGTTAAGTTAATCTAATGTAGTTCATTTACCAGTCTTCTATATTGGTTTATGAGTTTTAAATACGTAGGTAAATGATATGTGGGCATACATTTATATTACTACCCCAGCTCCACCAGTTAGGGATAGTTCTAAGTATTTAAAAAAATAGCAAAAATTAAAAATATGAAAAGGTGGCTCTGTAACTCTTTAATATCATCCCTGTTCTTTATGTTGGGTTTTATACCAACCACACACACACATATCTTCAATATGAATTATGAAAAATAATATAAATGTAGCCGCTTTAAAATGGAGTTGGAGCTGCCATCCAAGAGGAAATGGCTTGCAAGTCTGACTCCTCAAATCTTTGGAATGTTAAAAATGTACAAAATAACCTTTCGACTGGGCCTGAAAGCAAGATTATACTCCAAATAACTGTTTGCAAAAATAACTAAGAGCAGATACGAAAATTAAAGACACTCTTTAGAATTAGCATCACTATGTTAGTTTATCTGCACCTACAGAAATTCCTTCCTTCTATTCATGTTATTGTTCTCCTTCCCTTTCTCATAAGAACCCCATGCCTTCCCCTCCTAAGGGGAAGACAATTTGGATTTCCGCCTGAATAAATGCTTCCTGAATAGCTATTCTTTTGAATCTCAAATAAATGCTTGTTGCTTTTCACCTTGGCCTTTTACTTTTAAGTTAACATATCATATCTATATATATAAAAGGTTAAGCGACAATCCAACCAGCCGGTAGGTATGATGCGCACTGACCACCAGGGGGCAGACACTCACGCAGGAGCTGCGGAGCTGCAGTGACTTGGCAGTGGTAGTCCTTGGGTGACACACTCCGGAACCAGAGAGGAGAGAGCCCCATTCCAGGGTGCATCACCTGAGAACCGCCCTCTCGCAATCCGAGACCCCTTAGGAGATGTCAGAGAGCCAGTTTTGGCCTGATCCCCACAGGCCAGGCCGAGGGACCCTACCTGCCAGAGAGACCCTGCTCACTCCACAGATGCCCTTCGAGCCACATGGCGCTCCTCCAGCTGCAGCCGACCCAGGAGGGACCGCAGGAGGTTGGCTCTAGGGTGTGTCCAGCCAGTCTCACCCAGTTCCACCCCTGGCCACCTTCTAGCTAATTTCCTTACAATGTGCACAAATCTGTGCACCAGGGCACTAGTGTAAACACAATCCAATATGGCTGTAACTCTAATGCTCCTGACCAAGGCATTACTGATACCCAGTAAAGATATATAGTACACTTCCAATAAAAACGTACATGGTGGAAGCAAAAAACAAACAAAAACCCCTTAGTATATGGTATAACTATGTTAAAAATGCCAGTGCTTTCAGACCACAGTCTGCACTGACTTTACTGCACATCAAAGTGAGCGTGACAAAAGTGTGAGGTAGCATCCACCGAGACCTTGCCTAGGCACTGCCTGGGATCCCCCGCGTTTAAAGAGGTAACCCTAATGCCACTGAACTCCACCCAAGCAGACACTTCACATAATCCTCAGTATCATCCACCTGCATCCTCTTCCCAATGCCCTGAACCAAGGAAGTCTTCTCAGTGCTGCTGCCCTTCTTTTCAAACCTTTCACTGAGTTCTCTAGATATTTATCCCACTATTTTTTAAAGTCCCTACCTCCTCCACCTCTTCAGAGAATACCCCTTCACCTGCCTGGTCCTAACTAGAATCTGGCTCCATCTACAGGACAACACATGCACTGCAGTCCTTTCAGCCTCTGAAAGAATGAATGAATTTTTCTAAACCCTATTGTTACTTCTAGGATACATCACTTCCATTTGCACATTAAAAACCTTTCCTTCTTGACAAAGAGATTCTAAAATCTATCATTTCTACCTTCCTTACCAGCCCCTGTTCCCTCTCCACTCTCCCTCCCTACTAACCCATAAACCCATGTACTAGTGCTATTATTCAAAATGTTGTCCACATACCACCTACTTTTTGAAACTGGTTCATAAAGAAACAACTATGGAAACTGAAAGTAAACATTTAGAATTTTACTACAATTTGACATCAGTGAACTCCTCTGTAAACTTCTTGGTCTTTTTTTAGCAAAATTGTTGCCCAAACTTTTTTTTTTTTGATGTTTTTATTGATGTCAGATAAGAAGGGAGAGGAAGAGAGAGATAGAAAGATCAATGATGAGAGAGAATCATCGATGGGTTGCCTCCTACATGCCCCCAACCAGGAATCGAGACCGCAACCCTGGCACGTGCCCTTGACCAGAATCGAACCTAGGGCCCTTCAGTCTGCAGTCCGACGCTCTATCCACTGAGCCAAACCAGCTAAGGCTTGTTGCCCAAACTTTCATGTGTACATAAATAACTTGGGGAATCTTGTTTAAAAATGTGGGTTTAGTAGTCTGGGATGGGGCCTGAGACTCTGCATTTCCAAGGAGGTCCAAATGATAATGATGCGGTAGTTTACAAGCCCATTCTGAATAGTGAGGCTTCAAACAACTTAATCAGGAGGTTTTCTCCGAGCCTTGCTATTTCATATGCTTGTATTTAGCTACTGTTTCTCAAATTTCACAAACCAAATCTCTGCACTTACCATTGCCTCTGTTTAGAGACACTGCTACTTATAGGCTGTGCAACCTTGGGAAAGTTAATTAACCTCACTGTGCTGTAATTTCCTCATCTTTAAATGTGATTAATAATCCTAAATACCTCATAGGATTGTTGTGAGGCTCAAATCGGTTAATTAATGTAAACTTAGCATAATGCTTGGCTGTACTAGCCATTTTAGTTTTTTAAATTTTTATTCTTGCCTTATTCACTTAACGTCTTGTTCAAGTATTACTTCTTTGAAGCTATTTTGACATCTTTCCATGCCAGAAAGAGGGAGGCACTCACGCTGTTGTGTTCTTACTATACTGTATAATCTAACTCTACTGCTGTATAATTATTTACATGTTTCTCATAACCAACTGTGCACATCTTGAGAGCAAAAATTTCCTTCATCCATTTGTGTATCCTTAAGACATAGCATGTTGATTGGCAAATTTTTTAAATCTGACTGAATTTTGCCCTGGCTGGTGTTTCTCAGTCCTTAGAGCAGCCGTGGGCAAACTACGGCCTGCG